GAAATTTTATTATATAAACTTTGCTAATTAAAAAAATAACAACATCTAATCCTCTTATATAACAAACCCAACTTCACCTTCATATAGCTCTGTTAACCCTTCTATATCTTGCCCGTATAACATTCTATCTTCCCCTGTTAATAATCCTTCTTCGGGAGCAACGCTACGTCTCCAAGATAACACAAGAACGCCGCATAACAATATGCATATACCTAATATTACCAATAATATCTGATACCATGCTAATTCCTCCCATTGATCATAATATACAAGACCATTAAATATTGACGAAGCATTATACGTACAGAAGGAAAGGGGTACTAATATGATCGTGTCACACATTCTCAATCCTTTGTTAAGGTAATAAAGCTAATTTCGAACATTTAGTAAAATTCATAAAGAAAAAAATACATTTATTATTATAATTCATATAGATATTATAATTAAACGTTATTAAATGATGAATGAATGAAAGACAGAGTTCAAATGAAATTTTAGATGAAATTAAAATTAAATTTACCTGTAATAAGGCTGTGACAACTAGTGCTATTACAATAATCCAACTCAACGGTCGATCAAATTGATTTCGACAATTAACTGTCAAAACTAGTAACTCTATACCACTCTTTGCAAATAATAAACTCTGACTGGATATCATTCCTCCGACCATACCGTATGTTATCCCAAGAACTGTCTGAAATTTTTTCCAATGCCATCCAAATATTAATTCACGGTCACATCGTCTATTTAGTAAATATTCACCGTATTTGGCTGCGATAAGAACTACAATAAGGATAAACTCGATGGTTGAGAAATATGCGATAAATGCTGGACGCTTATATAATTCTATTAGGTCGTTAAGAGAATGGTTTTGTACTTTGACCACACCAAAGAAAGCAATCATTACCGCTCCAATCAGAATAAAAATTGTTCCTAAAAAAAAAAAAAAAAAGAATTACATTTAATTTTTATTTAAAAAGCTTTTTTTAATCAAATGCGATCGAAATTAACTTTCTTTAAATATGAATGAAAAGGAACAAACCTATTACTGACTTCCTTGAGAATACATCACCCAATAATAATTGGGCAAATAATGCATTAAAAATTAAAGTTACTGCACCCAAAGGTGCTAATATGATAATAGGAAGGTAACCGATAGAGAATACGCTTCCAATAATATTGGAGATTAGATAGGTGTCAAATCCTAAGTGCCATAACGGTCTTCTGCATGCAGATCGCCGTAGCTCTTTGGGATAAATGTTTTCATTCAGAACATGTGATTTTCGTTGTATAGTAAGTCCGAGGGATTGAATAAATGAGGTGGAGACAGCTATTGTAATACCGATAAGAAGATTTATTTGGTTTGGTTCAACTGTTGCTTCGTTAGTAGTTGAGCAGTCCGTCATGTTCAAAGAGAAGTAAGGAAGACTATTCTTAATTACATAAAGATTACAAATCGCATGCACGCACGCACTGCGCAGTGAGTTGAGAAAAAGGTTTGTTTCAGAAGTATAACTATTATGTCTTATATCTTCAGAAATTAATAAATAATAAATTATTAACTAAAATAATAAAGGTTAAGATATAGAGGTGATCAAATATAAAAAACTTTATAATAGACAATTAAAAAAAAAGAAACGGCGAGC